CCACTCTGTCTCTCACTCCCTCCCTCCACTCTGTCTCTCCCTCCCTCCCTCCACTCTGTCTCTCCCTCCCTCCTCCACTCTGTTGGCCTGTCATGTATGTCTTGGAATTGATTGCTCGGAATATTTTAATTCTGTATTTCTTCAATATTGTCATAAGCAGCGGTCTTTATCGACTGATGTCAGAGAATTGTATGAAAATGTAAATAATACTGAATAAAAACTTATATTAACTTCATTCATATCTGAGACGGAAATCGTGAAATCGACAAAGAGATTTTTCCATACAAATTTCCTATATATTAATTTATCATATATATTAAAAAACGGTTCCAATTTATAGAAAAATACAGGAATTGAATAAATCACTGAAAATTTACTATAATTTTTAGCTCTGGTGATAGTTGCTTTGACTTGTACGAGCAAACACGATGAAATATATTAACATGTGTGAGACTTCCATGTTGGGTCATATGTTCATCAGGAACTATCATCAGTGTGCCACAACGACTGGGGGAAGATCTTGCCTCGCGGTGTACAACTTGAAGTCCTTCAGGTTAGGTTATACACCCACAGTGTATACACCCACAGTGTATACACCCACAGTGTATACACCCACAGTGTATACACTCACAGTGTATACACCCACAGTGTATACACCCACAGTGTATACACCCACAGTGTATACACCCACAGTGTATACCATAACCTGAACCTGGGCTCTGTTTAGGTCCATAATATTCCTTATCTAGCGTTGATTTTAGTGGATCATCGACCCTTTCCCTGAGGCCCGGTCGTCGACCAGGCCTCCTGGTTGCTGGACTGGTCAACCAGGCTGATGGACACGGCTGCTCGCAGCCTGACGTATAATCACAGCCTGGTTGATCAGGTATCCTTTGGAGGTGTTTATCAAGTTCTCTCTTGAACACAGTGAGGGGTCGGCCAGTTATGTATAGTGAATTCTTATCCTTCAGTGGTTTACAGGCCTCGAACCCAGTATCAAACTAGAAGTCAGTCTGTGGTCCCTCGTAACGCCAGCGCTCTCCATAACGCCGCAAAATCGTCCTATTAGACAAGTAATCTTCCTATGAAACGTCCTAGCGAGTTGCCTCAACAACCACCAACATATCAGGAGTCTTGGAATGCTCCTAACACCGTTTTAAGGTGACACTAATGACCTAGTAATTGATATTTAAGAAAGAGAGAGAGAGAGAGAGAGAGAGAGAGAGAGAGAGAGAGAGAGAGAGAGAGAGAGAGAGAGAGAGAGAGAGAGAGAGAGAGAGAGAGAGAGAGAGAGAGAGAGAGAGAGAGAGAGACACATTATCGTTAAAACTCAGAAATGTTCCATTATTTAATCACGGGAAAATGGCTACTTCTTGTCTGTGTTTGCTGGGAATGTTATCCATTACGTCTGATGTTGTGTTTGTGCGAGTGTGAATATCCTCCACAAGTGTAAACCTCCCTTTAGTTTACCAACACGACGCAGCCCATTCAGTGTCTCATTCATCCCATTCATTCATTCATTCATTCACGACACAACCCATTCAGCACTTGGTTTCGTGGGTATTTATATGTTTTTCTCCTACATACTCACCATAAATCATATGTACTCACCATAGCCTCTTCATGTTCACTCACTCATGCTCACTATAACTCATTCATGCTCACTTTAACTCCTACATGCTCACTATAACGTCATCATACTAATAGTTAATTTATCATCATACATAATTTATTCATATCTAATTTATGATTTTTTGTATAGTTCTCATAACTTTCCCGTGTCCCTCATAATGCCTTGATAACCCTCACATTCTTCACAACCTATTCAGTTATCTCATAGCTATCCTGCGGCTGATTTCCTCAAAGCTTTGTCAAGCTAGTGAAAAATCCCTCACAGGTCATCTCCTCTCAAGTTCCTCACAGTCATCTCTCCACAGGTTCCTCACAGGTTCCTCACAGGTTCCTGACAGGTTCCTGACAGGTTCCTGACAGGTTCCTCACAGGTTCCTCACAGGTTCCTCGTGCACGTGCCCTGCAGCTTGAGCAGGCATATTAAAGCTTAGTAATGGCAGCTGGCGACGCGGGCCCCCTCCAAGACGCTATGATTAACGAGGTGGGGACTTAATGTCTGGCAAGGGGGACCCCCGCTCGAGCCCCATTCATCTCTCTTAATGGTCGACTGGCCCCATAACGTGTTGAGGCTCCTCCCTCGGCGCCCCCCACATTATCCAGCGACTGGGTGTGGGGTGAGGAGGAAGATGTGGGCGTGGGGCGTGGCTCCGTGGAGACTAGCGAGAGAAATTGGAGAAGTATTGATGTAATGGTGGGGGAGATTTGTTGGAGAGTGGCCAGGTGTTGGGGAAAGTCAGGCAAGGGTAGGTGTAGGGGAGGTTAGGTAAGGGTGCGTGTATGTTACTGGGGGATGGTGACATCATCTTAGCTGCTGTGGGTGATGTAAGGAGTCACCTTAGGTAACTATAGAATATGTCATCACAAACATTGGTTACCTTGTTCGCATTAGTAGGGGAAATTAAGACAAATCCGGAACACACCGGTTTTGGCTTCACCTCTTTTTAGGGCCTGTCTCGTGTCAAACTTCCTGTTGCGGCTTCAGACCTAAAAGTCTAGAAAGGTAAGGTCGGCCGTTAGTTCTCGGGCCGGCCTCCAAATGTCGTCTGTCATAATTTCGTAAGTATGCAACCAAATTAAATGAAATTTTAAACAGTCATATTTCAGACGGAGTCAAGGGACAAGTGCCAGTTATTGGACTCCGACTCTCGTTCCAAGTCGTAGACCTCCCTCGTACCTTCGTAAGTTTATTTCCGATTTTAACGAAATAAAAAATATAGAAGCTGGAGACTAAGGAAAAGAAGAAAATTTAGATGGGCTTCAGCTCTAGTTCTACGTCGAAGTTCAAAATTAAAATATTTCAGTCCAAGTATGTAATTTCATAAGTATTTTTCAGCTATTAAATTTAAAAACAGACACTTTTAACCTTCAAAATATATTTTCTTTCAAGCATTTTATACCTTCACTAACCTTAAAGCTTCCAACTTAATCTATCTTTCTACTGGGAGGTCTGCTCATCTTTCTCCCAATCCTGTCTAAGGGCTTACAATTTCGCCCGTTTTTCCATCACTTTTTTGCTCCAATCTTCCCCACTCCACCCCACGGGTCTCGATATTTGTGGTGCTTTATTGAGTCCTGGAACGAGGACCCGTATTTGTCAGGCGGTTTTCCATTATTCACTGACGTTCACCTGTCGTTCTACACTCACCAGTCACTACACCCACCAGCAGTGACAGTCACCTCTCCTCAACACCCTCACCTGTCACTACACCCACCAGCAGTGACAGTCACCTCTGCTCTCCTCAACACTCACTTGTCACTACACCCTCCAGCAGTGACAGTCACCTCTGCTCTCCTCAACACTCACCTGTCACTACACCCTCCAGCAGTGACAGTCACCTCTGCTCTCCTCAACACTCACCTGTCACTACACCCACCAGCAGTGACAGTCACCTCTGCTCTCCTCAACACCCTCACCTGTCACTACACCCACCAGCAGTGACAGTCACCTCTGCTCTCCTCAACACTCACCAGTCACTACACCCACCAGCAGTGACAGTCACCTCTGCTCTCCTCAACACCCTCACCTGTCACTACACCCACCAGCAGTGACAGTCACCTCTGCTCTCCTCAACACTCACCAGTCACTACACCCACCAGCAGTGACAGTCACCTCTGCTCTCCTCAACACTCACCAGTCACTACACCCACCAGCAGTGACAGTCACCTCTGCTCTCCTCAACACTCACCAGTCACTACACTCACCAGCAGTGACAGTCACCTCTGCTCTCCTCAACACCCTCACCAGTCACTACACCCACCAGCAGTGACAGGTCACCTCTCCTCTCCTCAACACTAACACTACTCACCAACATTTACGACGAATCCTGCCTTAGCATAAATCAGTTTGATGCTTGCCCCATTTGCCACCTCATATGATGTGGTGGCAAATGGGGCAACCTACAGCAACCTCAATGTGCTTTGCAGTTTGCTACCTCTCCATCAGCGTACATAATTGCCGCTATTTTTGTATCATAGAATAACCTGAATTAGACCATTGTGGCCCATTATGTCTCTCTGGGAGCACGTGTACAGCTCCTTACTCCATACTCTAAACCTCGTAACAAAGTCACTTTTTTGCCACGTATTCAAATACCCGAGAGACCCAACAAGTTAACAGGTGGTCGGTCAACAGGGGTTTATCTAGTTTTCTGTGAGAGTATACTCCCAGTACCTGACCTGTCAACAGTCATCAACGAAAATTGATCGGCCAGATCCCTCTTGCTGGACGTATTTCAGCCTGAAATTACGCCTCCACACACCCATTACACAGGACTGTACCCACACGAATCGTTCACCAAGGGGGCCCCTTTTCCACTTAAAACTACGATTCCTGTAACTTGGCGACACCCATTTCTCCAGGTAAACTTGGCTTATATATACACGAGTGACCACTAACAGAAGGAAATTGTTACGTACCTTAACAATTGGAGGATTTCTGAGGCAACGAGCTGTTAAGTTACCTGCAATGGTATGAAAACTAATTATATATTTTACACTTGTTTTTATACATTAAAATCCTCATATAGCACATGAACAGTCATTATATTCCAGGTATATAAGATGGATGCCTGCCACTATAAGCAGCGCTGGTAAAGGTGGTGCTTGAGCATCGAGGTGTTGCTTACCTTGGGCTGTAGACGAGCAGGCTGGAGTCCCTCGTGTAGTGAGGTCAGGCTGGGGCACGTGGTCAGGCTGGGGGCAAGTGGTCAGGCTGGAGGCAAGTGGTCAGGCTGGAGGAAAGTGGTCAGGCTGGAGGCAATGGTCAGGCTGGAAGCAAGTGGTCAGGCTGGGGCAAGTGGTCAGGCTGGGGCAAGTGGTCAGGGTGGGGCACGTGGTCAGGCTGGGGCAAGTGGTCAGGCTGGGGGCAAATGGTCAAGCTGCGGCACGTGGTCAGGCTGAAGGCATGTGGTCAGGCTGGGGCACGTGGTCAGGCTGGAGGCAAGTGGTCAAGCTGGGGCACGTGGTCAGGCTGGAGGCAAGTGGTCAGGCTGGGGCAAGTGGTCAGGCTGGAGGCAAGTGGTCAAGCTAGGGCACGTGGTCAGGCTGGGGCACGTGGTCAGGCTGGGGCACGTGGTCAGGCTGGGGCACGTGGTCAGGCTGGAGGCAAGTGGTCAGGCTGGGGCACGTGGTCAGGCTGGGACAAGTGGTCAGGCTGGGGGCAAATGGTCAAGCTGCGGCACGTGGTCAGGCTGGGGCACGTGGTCAGGCTGGGGCACGTGGTCAGGCTGGAGGCAAGTGGACAGGTTGGGGCACGTGGTCAGGCTGGGGCACGTGGAAAGCTGGGGCACGTGGAAAGCTGGGGCATGTGGTCAGGCTGGGGCAAGTGGTCAGGCTGGGGCACGTGGTCAGGCTGTGGCACGTGGTCAGGCTGCGGCACGTGGTCAGGCTGCGGCAAGTGGTCAGGCTCGGGGCAAGTGGTCAGGCTCGGGGCAAGTGGTCAGGCTCGGGGCAAGTGGTCAGGCTGGGGGCAAGTGGTCAGGCTGGGGGCAAGTGGTCAGGCTGCGGCAAGTGGTCAGGCTGGGGGCAAGTGGTCAGGCTGGAGGCAAGTGGTCAAGCTGCGGCACGTGGTCAGTCTGGGGCACGTGGTCAGGCTGGGGGAAAGTGGTCAGGCTGGGGGCAAGTGGTCAGGCTGGGGCAAATGGTCAGGCTGGGGGCAAGTGGTCAGGCTGGGGGCAAGTGGTCAGGCTGGGGGCAAGTGGTCAGGCTGGGGGCAAGTGGTCAGGCTGGGGGCAAGTGGTCAGGCTGGGGGCAAGTGGTCAGGCTGGGGGCAAGTGGTCAGGCTGGGGGCAAGTGGTCAGGCTGGGGCAAATGGTCAGGCTAGGTGCAAGTGGTCAGGCTGGGGGCAAGTGGTCAGGCTGGGGGCAAGTGGTCAGGCTGGGGGCAAGTGGTCAGGCTGGGGGCAAGTGGTCAGGCTGGGGGCAAGTGGTCAGGCTGGGGGCAAGTGGTCAGGCTGGGGGCAAGTGGTCTGGCTGGGGGCAAGTGGTCTGGCTGGGGGCAAGTGGTCTGGCTGGGGGCAAGTGGTCAGGCTGGGGGCAAGTGGTCAGGCTGGGGGCAAGTGGTCAGGCTGGGGACAAGTGATCTGGCTGGGGGCAAGTGGTCAGGCTGGGGGCAAGTGATCTGGCTGGGGGCAAGTGGTCAGGCTGGGGGCAAGTGGTCAGGCTGGGGGCAAGTGGTCAGGCTGGAGGCAAGTGGTCAAGCTGCGGCACGTGGTCAGTCTGGGGCACGTGGTCAGGCTGGGGGAAAGTGGTCAGGCTGGGGGCAAGTGGTCTGGCTGGGGGCAAGTGGTCTGGCTGGGGGCAAGTGGTCAGGCTGGGGGCAAGTGATCTGGCTGGGGGCAAGTGGTCAGGCTGGGGGCAAGTGGTCAGGCTGGGGGCAAGTGATCTGGCTGGGGGCAAGTGGTCAGGCTGGGGGCAAGTGGTCAGGCTGGGGCAAATGGTCAGGCTAGGTGCAAGTGGTCAGGCTGGGGGCAAGTGGTCAGGCTGGGGGCAAGTGGTCAGGCTGGGGGCAAGTGGTCAGGCTAGGTGCAAGTGGTCAGGCTGGGGGCAAGTGGTCAGGCTGGGGGCAAGTGGTCAGGCTGGGGGCAAGTGGTCAGGCTGGGGGAAAGTGGTCAGGCTGGGGGCAAGTGGTCTGGCTGGGGGCAAGTGGTCTGGCTGGGGGCAAGTGGTCAGGCTGGGGGCAAGTGATCTGGCTGGGGGCAAGTGGTCAGGCTGGGGGCAAGTGGTCAGGCTGGGGGCAAGTGATCTGGCTGGGGGCAAGTGGTCAGGCTGGGGCAAGTGGTCAGGCTGGAGGCAAGTGGTCAGGCTGGGGGCAAGTGATCTGGCTGGGGGCAAGTGGTCAGGCTGGGGGCAAGTGGTCAGGCTGGGGGCAAGTGATCTGGCTGGGGGCAAGTGGTCAGGCTGGAGGCAAGTGGTCAAGCTGCGGCACGTGGTCAGTCTGGGGCACGTGGTCAGGCTGGGGGAAAGTGGTCAGGCTGGGGGCAAGTGGTCTGGCTGGGGGCAAGTGATCTGTCTGGGGGCAAGTGGTCAGGCTGGAGGCAAGTGGTCAGGCTGGGGGCAAGTGATCTGGCTGGGGGCAAGTGGTCAGGCTGGGGGCAAGTGGTCAGGCTGGGGGCAAGTGATCTGGCTGGGGGCAAGTGGTCAGGCTGGGGGCAAGTGGTCAGGCTGGGGGCAAGTGATCTGGCTGGGGGCAAGTGGTCTGGCTGGGGGCAAGTGGTCAGGCTGGGGGCAAGTGGTCAGGCTGGGGGCAAGTGGTTGTGACACAGCAAGTTACAAATGCTCCCACACACAAAACTGATCAAGACGACGTAATATGTCACAAGATGACACAAACTGTACGTAGAATTTTTTAAATTTATTTGTACTTGGAAAGCATGCGACTAAGTAACAAATACATACAGAAAACGAACACAAAGGGAAAGAAAACAAAAGAACAAAGGCATACGTGTGAAGGGGCCTCACAACAATAACACACAACATATAACATAGATCATAACAGGTGGGACAAACAATAACCAACCAAAAAAACACACACGTGAAAACACAGGTTATCTTCTTCTTGAGGTTATCTTGAGACAATTTCGGGGCTTTTTAGTGTCCCCGCGGCGCGGTTCTCGACCAGGCCTCCACCCCCAGGAAGCAGCCCGTGACAGCTGACTAACACCCAGGTACCTATTTTACTGCTAGGTAACAGGGGCATAGGGTGAAAGAAACTCTGCCCATTGTTTCTCGCCGGCGCCTGTGATCGAACCCAGGACCACAGGATCACAAGTCCAGCGTGCTGTCCGCTCGGCCGACCGGGTCACCGGGCAGGGAAAAGACATTAAATACAAAAGTACAGCACAACCCCAAACAAGGGTACAAAACTATAGGCCTAAAACGCCTACAGCAAATAATGATATACATGTCAGGAAGAGGCCTGACAGCTGAGTGGACAGCGCTTCGGAATCGTAATCCTGAGGTTCCGGGTTCGATCCCCGGTGGAGGCGGAAACAAATGGGCAGAGTTTCTTGCAACCTGATGCGCCTGTTACCTAGCAGTAAATAGGTACCTGGGAGTTAGACAGCTGCTACGGGCTGCTTCCTGAAGGGTGTGTAACAAAAAGGAGGCCTGGTCGAGGACCGGGCCGCATGGACACTAAGCCCCGAAATTATCTCAAGATAATCATGAAACACAAACGTAAAAGAACCAAATGAAAGGGAACACATAAAACACATTACAGTAGCCTGTCCACGACAGACAGAAACAAAACAACACAAATAAAACAGGAGAAAGCAAAACAAAGATACAATACAGGTACAAAAACACAAAGAAGAACAAAACCATGGAACAAAGAAACCCAAAGCACACAACCATAAGCGTGAAGGGCCTACAGCAGACAGAACAAGCGGGAGGCGGGAGCAAGCAGCGCCACGCCTGCCCCATACTTCTCTGGAAATTCCGCCCCGGAAATCGGAGGCAATACTCCTCTCAAATAAGCGCCGTAGCAGGATGAACCGGCGCACGAGGACGCTCCATCATATCCGGAATCCCGGACATAAATACACGGGCACTAGGCACCCAAACAATAAATGGGCACACACAGGGATCGTCAACACCCGCTGCCACTTTGAGGGCGCGTCGTGAGCACAAATACCTCAGAAAGCAGCAGTAATAGACAGAGTCCAGGTCAACAGCGCCAGACACGTCCGCCGCGGGTAGCACCACGGGAGGAGGCGCCACAGGGGGCAACACCACAGGGGCAACATCCGGAACAACATCCACAGGGTCGGGCACCGGCACACAATCCCCACGTCATACATCCTTCCTCAGGACCACCACAAGGCCCCGGCCCATGACATCAGCCGCACCACCCACCACAAGTGGACCACTGCGGGGAACCCCCTGCAGGAGAAGAAACAGAGGTTAACAAAGACATCGTCATCGGCGGCAGCAACAGGCATGTGAACCTCCGCCACCGCCGTCGTAGTCGACACGGCCGCCCCAGGGACCACATCACCGACACTCGCAAGCATCAAAATCGCCCACATCGGCCCGAGGAACGCCGCAAGCACTTGGGACCCGACCGCACATCTTGAGAGCCGGAGGCGGAACCAGAAGCACGGGAAGCGCAGGGGGCAGGCGCACTGTCGCACGGCGCAAGACGTCAGCAACCTCGACGACAGGGGGGACCGATCCCACCACAACACCTCCCAGCACAGCCGGGACAAGCAGCGGGGATGGAAAAACAGGATCCGCAGGACAAGGCAGAGGGTCAGGCGCTGCAGACGGTGAAGCTGAAGATGCAGAGCGAGCACTTGGGAGAACTACAGCAGCAGCAGTACACCCAACCAAGGATGCCACAACCACTGGGGAACAAGCCCCACCAGGAGCAGGCGCACCGTCCGACACAGGGCGCAGCACCTCAGCCAAGGGCACGTCCACAAATTCATCCACTGGGTCATCCTCCACAGCTAATGGCGGGAAATCTTCCTCGCGAAAAAGATTCACTTTGGTGACAACTGCCAAGCAGACAGCAGCTAGGTGGCCCGACAAGCCACTGCGAAAACACGTGCGAGGCTGACGGGCATAATAGACCCGGATGTAATACCCCACGAGCCGCACCGAGGACGGGATACCCGACCACAGCCCCAGAGTACGGATACTAGTCCGGACGCCCCTAAGCTTCCCGGAGGAAACCGTATTGAGCCTCACACTCAAGACTACCAAACTACCCAAAGTATTGCCGCAGTAGTTCCTCCGGTAATTCAAGGGTGCACCTTGCACGCTGACAAAGGTGAGGGCCCCATTGCAGTCCGAGATGATCACTGTACCGGCAGCGTCTAGCAGGGGCAAGGACCATCCCTCATAATGATGTAGAAACGCCTTGTAATTGTCTTCATGCGCAAACTTCACAATAGCTTGATGCAATGACACCAATTCCACGGCTGGGTAGTCGGCCCGTCCAGTAAATTCCAGACCCACCGAATGAGCCCGCAAAACGGAGGGGGTCCTTCTATCAAGCAAGCTCAAACGACACGCGTCCACCAACCACCACGCACGCTGGGCAACTACTGGAGTACAGGTGGCCACCTCTTCATTATGAAGAGTTTTCATGTTCTTGTCACATTCGCCATAAAGCGTCCTGCTCCTAAACCCGCTCGAAGCCAGGTGCTTCGTTACAGCTCAGCTATTTAAGTTACAGCTTGAGCCCCAAGCTGTAAGTCAAATACTGACTTGTAAGTTACACAAAAATTATAAATCAGTATATGACTTATACGTTGTGAACCCTTTTGCTCTTTGTTTTGATAAAGCTTAGGAAAATGCATTTGTCTAAATGCTTCGTTCACCTACTTTGTTCAAGGTGGATGTCTCTAAACATCTGTGGCCAGATTCACGAAGCAGTTAAGCAAGTACTTACGAACGTGTACATCTTTCCTCAATCTTTGACGGCTTTCTTTACATTTATTAAACAGTTTACAAGCATGAAAACTTCCCAATCAACTGTTGTTATTGTTATAAACAGCCTCGTGGTGCTTCGGAGTTCATTAACTGTTTAATAATTGTAAACAAAGCCGTCAAATATTGAGGAAAGATGGACAGGTTCGTAAGTGCTTGCGTAACTGCTTCGTGAATCTGGTCCCCTCGTTCTCCTAGTCAAGGAGTAAGAGCGCGTTAAACCAGCACCCAAACCTCCGTTTTTTATGAAAGCAAAACATTTTACACAGGATTACATAATAACATTATTTTATAGGGCGCATCCGATCCCACGATCGTCGTCGCCCCTACATCAACAACAACATTATTATATACTTGGCAAACTGCTGACTTTAAATTCGCATCGCGTTAAATTTGCTGAATACGTTGTGAGGGACAGCTGGTGTGAGCATTACTCTACGATTGGTTGATAATGCTCCACCCACCGTACTGCAAATACATATAATTACCTCCAGAACTACAACACCTGACCTAGCCTATCATAGGCCTAATTATGCACGCAATTTTAATATATACAAACGTTAATTTCTATTCCCGAAAATATTGTTGTTGGTTCTATATTACATTAAAATTAACAAATGTATTGTTTTGGGGTCAGTGGAAGCCTGCATGAGTAGTCTGTTGAGGCTTAGAATGACGGATTG